CTACATATTTTTTTATTAAATTGAAAAGAAACTCGTGTGACATATTATTACGGTCTTCATAACGATAATAAGAGTAAAGAAAAAAATATAGAAGAAACGTTGGTTCATGCATCGTTTACTTTACATCCATTTACATAATTATCATCCCATCTAATCTTCTGTGTATTCAATATCACCAACATCTGGCTTCAAACAATGATATCTCTGACACTCTTTAAAAGTAGTATTTGTGGTAATATGTCAATTGTGGTTTTTCCCCCATTCATCAATGTCATCACCTTCCTCACTGTAAACACTTATATTCTACATTTACAATTAATATCTGATTCATCACTATACTATTTTAATTTTCATAGCAGCAAGGAAGTAATATATATATATATATATATATATATATATATATATATATATATATATATATATATATATATATATATATATATATATATATATATATATGCTGATAACCACAAGGAAAGAAGAAAACACGAAGTTCCCAAGCGCTTTCGTGAAATTCACATCTTCAGGGGTGAGTACAGACTAAAGAGGGGAATTGTGTTTTCTTCTTTCCTTGTGGTTATCCATATACCTAGATCACGTGCACCTACAGTGATTTACTTGCATATATATATATATATATATATATATATATATATATATATATATATATATATATATATATATATATATATATATATATATATATATATAATATTAATTGTACCAAAAGTGATAAAATGATATAAGAATAGAATAAATATTATCAACATAAATAACATTCATATGTTAATAATAAACCTTCAACTCTTATCATTTTCCACCACAGAACAAAACCCAGTTATGTTATGAGAGTGAGAACGACAAGCAGAGACCTTCCAATGCCCTGAAGGTGTTCATAGTGTGTAGCACAGTATGTCAGTGACCTCGGACGCATTTACATCCTTGAAGGAGGACCCGGGTCACCATCCTGCTATTATGAGCGCAGCCGCCTGTCTTGGAGCGGTCCAGATAGCCTAAACGTGTTCCCGGGTAAATTAAGGGGGAGTGGGTAGGCGGCAGGAAGCCCAGGTATGTTAGGGACAATATCGTATATACCAAGCTTTTATGTTATGTGTCAATATTAACAAGAAAAGAGAGAGAGAGAGAGAGAGAGAGAGAGAGAGAGAGTCTCTTAAAAACTAAGTTAATCTATTTCTAAGTTCTTAAATTATCAATACTAATGTATACTCTTACTTGCTCCTTCCTTAAATTGAGAAAAAGAAAAAAATATTGATATAATTGCAAAATTATGAATTTAGTATTATTATGGGTGATCATTTGTTCCATTAAAATATAAGTCGAGATGATGATGATAATAATAATAATAATAATAATAATAATAATAATAATAATAATAATAATAATAATAATAATAATAATAATAATAATAAAGTGATATTGACAATTATCATAATATAGATATAATAAAGATATTTCGAATAATAGTTATAATAAGAATATGAACAAGATAAGAAGAGGAAACATCAATGAAAATTACTTACTAATAATGTTAGTATAAAAGTAATTAATAGGTCAATCTCCCTATGTACCTGTATAATAGTTGTATTTGTCATTATTGTAACTCTTAATAAAATTCATATCTATGATGTATAATTTCTAATTATTATCATTATTACAATTATTATTTTTATTTATTTTTTTATTATTATTATCATTATCATTATCATGATTATTATCAATTATTATCATTATCATTATCATTATTATTATTATTATTATTATTATTATTATTATTATTATTATTATTATAATAAATAAAGTGTTTACATGTGATATGAATTCCTGATAAATTTTCAGTCATATTATGACTATTACCATTTCTCTTAATCAAATTTATATTAGCACCGATATCAATAATTATAATAATATAATCAATTACATGTATTATAGTGATAATTGTTATACTATAATTAAGTGATAATACCGATTGTAGTAAACAATAACAATCATGATAACTAAAAAACAAAAACAAACAATAATAATAATAGCAATATAAATATCAGTAATAATAAGAATAATAATAAATTATAATAATAATAATAAATAATAATAATAATAATAATAATAGCAATAATAATAATAATAATAATAATAATAATAATAATAATAATAATAATATTTATAGGGATGTTTTTATTATTATTATTATTATTATTATTATTATTATTATTATCATCGCTGTTCTTTTTGCTTTTGTCTATTTTATATTATTTTAATATTTTAAAAAATTATTTAATTCAAAATGGAATCATTAATATATGATTAATTACAATGTGACTAATGATCATTAGAAAAATTAGTGTAATAATGGTATACGACAATTAATTCAACACCATTTAACACGAGAATAAATAATTTCTCCTCATAACAATCAAATATTTATAAATTATAATATTTATAATACAGATATTTTTTTTTCGGGAATACACTACTCATTATAGGAATTAATTGTCTATAATATACATTAAATTTAACCTTGATCTGGAGAATAACATTCCTGGTAGCCGTTTTAGTGATATAAATACAAGAAAAACTACCTTAGTTATTCCTAATGAAAGTATTGATATTGACCTGTGTTTAATTTTTTTTATTTAAGAATAAGACTTAATGTATTGTTTGTTACTTTTTAGTTATTATTGTATATCTTATGATTATACATGTAGCTATAAACATGCAGTTGTATACGAATTTATACTCATTTACATGGATACACAACACTTTACACACATACCTAGAGCGAAGATCTACTTCAAACGAAACTACTGTCAATAATATTAAGACAATTGGGTACAAGAATTGAAAGATATTATGACTATAGTTTATATACACGGGTCTGAAATATATCCCATACACCATTAAACAGACAATCAATAAATCGGGGTTTCTTTTGGATAGTAATATATTTAGGGTGGTTTTATATCATTTCTCTTTCATTTAAGAAAATAAAAGAATTAGTTTACTTTATATAAAGAGAACTATTGTCGGGAAATCGATCACTTGTCTGTACTGTTTAGTGGCAAGCGTGACAACAACCAGCTTCCCTGATGTCTTTTAATTTTTTATCAGTATACAAATCTACCATCATAATTTCCTGCCATTGGTGTTGCACAAATTATTCTGTTTAATGCTTTTTTCTTGATTATAGACCATAATACAATAAATAACCTTTATGATCTAACTGTCCTGATCCCACAAGAACTCGCTTCTACACTCGTTAAGTATTTAGTGAGACATATTCTTTTATTTTTTCGCAGGATTAATATCGTTTTATGCCCATTTCTCTGTAGTTTTATGGCTTAGGCCGTGTGCATAACACACCATGGTACGGACGTTAAGATGCAACCCCTTACACCTGGTGTGGAAATGGCGGAGGTACAATGCTTAAAGCGCTTGTACCGGGTCTGCAGTGAGGGCGCCTCTTCGCCAGTTTTCACAGTCTTTCGTTCTCATTGCAGATTGCATCGGCCATATTGAGCGGTGGAGGTTCCCGCCACGGCCGCTAGATGGCAGCAGCGGCAACCGAGTGTTAGCACGCGTTTCTGCGGTCAGATGAGTGGCAACCTCCGAGGACGCAGCACCTGTCATCCTGTTCTTCGCAATAAACGTCACTGCAATTTACACCCTGACTCCTTTTTCTACACTTTTATGGGGATATGGATAAATTTAGTTATAGGTTATCGAGTAATATCAAACGCACCACACTTGCTGACTAAAAGGGGCTTCTCTCGCCCACTAAAGAATCACATAGAGAAATGTTAACACTTTTCACTGACTCAGCCTAGCACTGCTCTCACACTTAGCAATCGATTTTGATCGTAATTTTCATTCCCTTGCCATTATAACATGGGGGATGAGAGTAGTGCCCTATGATAATATCTCTGCTCACTTGCTGGTCATGCTGTCTGTCCTTGTAGCAGGACCAGTCAGGTGAAGTTGTATTGAGGAGAGGAGTGGTTTCTTCCGCTGCCTGACACTCGTGTCGCGGCTACTGTGGTTTATGACCGATCACAACTCGTTTTACACTTCATAAATGGGTGGGTTTAGTTGACCCTTACACTGGACATGGTTTTAATATGGTTTTCTTCTCTCTCTTTCTCTTTTTCTCTTTGATAGTAAATGGGAGAAAGGGATTAACACACATGTACACAACACTATGTATAAAGATTTTCACAAACGCCTGCACACTTTTACTCCCTAAGGGACGTGCAATAAAAGGTGTGGTGGAGGTGCCTCCAACAACATACTCTGCTGCAACAAGTATGGCACTCGTGGGAAGTCTGTGATTTCCTCCTGTCTAGGGAAATACAGACATGCACCAGCACATATATAAGCGTTCTAAAGCCTCGTGCGAAGGATGGGGAGGGAGGGAGGAGGGGAAGGAATTTGTGCACCAAAGGGATCAGGCAAGGGCCATTAAGGGAATGTGCAACACCTCTTGCACCCTCCTAAACACTGTCGAGCAACACACCACCTCGGATAACTGCATGCACGGGGGGAATTCAGGGCAGTAGCATTGCAAAACACTTTTTTTCTTGGTTATTCACTCATTACTGGTCATAGTGATATTTTCTACAATTCACGTTTTAAGCTTTCTTCTTTGAAAAACACACACATTGCTGTGCTATATATTGCACATAGAAAGCTCGCACAGTCCTCATGATTAAGTTTCAAGAACAGACTAGCTAACACAAGCACTGGGTAGGACAACACTAAAACACAACTCCAGAACGAAAGCTCTTGATAAGGATTGTATCTTGCAGGGTGACAGGAAGGTCCCTCCTGAGGAAGGAGAGGAACTAAAGGAAGGGACAAAAAGGAGCTACAGGACACTACGAGAGGTGGGAGGGGACTGCTCTACGACAAACACGCCTAGGAGACTCTACGAAGGAGACAACTACAGGGATCAAGTTCACGAGATTCAAGACAACTTTAGGACCTACCTGTGATGGACATCCACGGGTACCGAGGGATGTCAGGAATATGAGGCGTCGGGGTTGGCTGACTACAGGAGTTGAGTGGGTTAGTGACGTTGTTCTGGTGGAAGTACTGGGCCATATTGCTAGTAGTGGCACAGTTCTGCAGATTGAGGCCATACTGGGACATATCCGTGGCTCCGGTCTGGGAGTAGCGGCATTGCTTGTCCCCGTCTGTGGTGGCTGTCATAGCGCTGAAGGGCGACATGTTGCTGGCGGCGTTGCTGGACAGCTGATGTGAAGTGACACTCACGTAGGGATACATACTTCTAGCTTGCGTATTGTAGTTTACCAGGTTAGCCGCGGCCGACTCCGCCTGGTACTTGGGCAGAATACTATCAATATAATTTGAACTCATTGTTCACATAATTCTTCCCAGTGGTAACTACTTAGTAACAACTGTGTACACACCAGCCTCGACTACCTGTGATGGCAAATGAATCCTTTTCTGAATTAGACACCAGGCACGAGAACCCCGAGCGGTAAACAAGTCTGCCCAATCAGTAGGTAAGGGAGCCCGGAGAACCAATAAGCGCTCGCCTTGGTCGGACCTTCATTATTAGCGCGATAAGGCCGGGAGGGAGAGCGCGACTACACTCAAAACACTATCGCCATCTGTGGACCAATCGCAGAACTAGGCGGTGAAGCCAGCCAATACGGGCCGCGCCGCCATCTTGGATATGGGCCGGGAGGGCGCGACGCGTCGAGCGCCACACAAACACACATCTCGGGAATCAACGAAATTATGGGTGGCACGCTGCCGGCGGTGTTATTACAAGCGGTCCTCCTCCGGGCTGCCCACACTGGACTCCAGCAGGTAATTTTAGCGAGTGTATCTAGTGTTATAAGGTGTGTAAGTGTAGCATCTTAGCCTCGGGAGCCAGCGAGCCCCCGCTTCAACGTCACGCATCTGCTCAGTCCTGCGTCCTCGCCGGGACCACCACTCCTCCTCCTCCTCTCTCCTCCTCTCTCCTCCTCCTCCTCCTCCTCCTCCTCCTCCTCCTTCTACCTCCTCTGCTCCTCCTACCTTCTGCGGTTCTCTCCCCAATCTCCCTTCTCACCCCACAAGAATTTCCAGAGGCCTAGTGGTCTGCTGTGCCGATGATAAACCATCAAAAATGGATTAAATGTCAACTCTTGGCCGCTCGTACGTCCGCGCACTCGGCCCTCTCAAAATACGACCCGTTCTAAACGCATGACGGAAAGAGAATGAAGGAACGGGTGCTTATGTGTTTGCATGATGCCAAAAGATTCCAAGAGGGCCAGTTCACTCACCCGGCCAATAAAAAGTCGTAGTTTGTTTGCCTTACGCGTTATTTCGTTAGCGATGTAATTAACTACGTATCACCTCGCATCGATTTTTGTGGTAATGTGGATCTGCTTTTGTTTGTTGCCAATTTTTCCATGTTGGTGTGTTATTCATGCACGACAAGAACATTTTTAATAGTTCCGTGAGAAGGGCAGCCACGTCTTAATGGCGAGCAAGAAGATTGTAAGCAAAACAAAATATAATAATAATTCTCACCTTGATATAGAGAGGAATTATACGGAAGACGAAGGTAACGTGCACACTAATATATTGTTCCATTTTGTTTAGTAATTGTTAGGTGAATTATAATCATTTCAACCTCTCACAACTATTCGATAGAATTAATAAAATGATAAAAACCGATTTTGTCGCTTGAATGACTTGCGTGAAAGTATTGATTTATTTATGACAGCTGTGTTGTTGGCAGATGATATTCACACTTCACTGAGAGTATTGTTTAAATTATTCTAACTCACTATAAAAAGTCACTAATGTTATCAATGAAAAAAATAATCTTTATATGTACCGCAATGTACATAATTTTTAATAGTATAAACCACAATAATGACATAGAAATCGGCCATTATATTGCATGAATTGGTGCGAAGTCACGCCATTTGCCGATAAATATTCCCAGTTTATTAGCCATTTTGGGCGCGGACAGTTCCTAGAGCGACCTATTGTTGTTAAATAAATTATCTACTCCTTTTTCCCTCACCAAAGAAGTCCACATAGCCTCCTCACAACGCATTTGAGAGGATAATTAAGAAAGAATATCGAGGAATCGGCTTAAAATGGTCGAGAGAGGCGCGCGGACATTGCGGGAACGGAGAGACTTGCAAATGGCGTTGAGCGCTCGGCCCGCCCGCCCGCCCGCCCGCCACACTGCTAGCCTGTTCATCACCGCCATGCACATTATTTCACTACACGTTCGATCAACATTCGAGCAAATATATTTTCCACGTGTTTGTCGTCCCAGTGCGAATATATTTTCAACAGAAATTTGTTGTTTAAACGCTTCCCAACGCCGCAAGTGGTTTATTTACATGATTAAACTTCGCCAGAATTTTTTTCACTCTTTGTAATTCGTGAAATTTTGACGTCAGGATCCAATAAAACTTTGACCACATGAGCGACACCTGATGGTGTGTGTAAGGTAGCCAGGTAAACCACGGAGTGGAGTAGAAAAAACACTACACTGCCCGTAAACTCGACGCTCGCGGTCATCCGGCTGGGAGGCGTATCTGATTTAGGGAAATGGGGGTGGTTTTGGGTTGGCCAGGTCTGGATTTGGGATATAGGCCTAGTGATTGGAGGGTAGGCTTAGTTTTTAGGTGGTCAGCATCATAGTGAAAGGGTTATTGCGGGCACTTGTGACCAGTCTGCTCTTGTCTGGGTTTGCGTGCGGTGAGGCAGAGACAGCGCCACTAGGCCGCCCGAGCTGGCCCTCCGCTCCTCCTCTGCTCCACACTGACTCACTTCATCCTCACACTTTTGAAACTCAAGTATCTCCCTCACTGGACTGTCTCAGAGTGATTACACAGTGATAATGTCGCAAACTGAAATTATTTCGTTGTTTTTCGCTACGAGAACAAGAACAAACTTAAGCCGAAATGTGAAAATGAAAAAAGTTTCAATTTACTCGAGTGTGTTGCTCCTGACGCCAGTGTTTAGCGGCGCCGACCGCCAGTGTGTGAAAATTAGAGGAACGTCTCCTTAGGCCGAGTTAGGAGACTCTCACGACACGAAAATAATCGACAAATCACAAGCTAGACACAGAGATTCATGTGTGAAATCAGCAGCCATAGGACCCCGGAAATTTTCAACAAAACACTAATGTTTGTCCGGTAAGTAGATCCCGGGGGATGTGGACGGTGTGTAGCGGCAGTGACACTAGTGGTGGCAGCGCTGGCGGCGGTGGTCGTCCAAAGCTGGCTGGTGGCTGTCGTGCTGGTGACAGTGGTCATGGTTGTGGCACTGCTGTTGTTGTCGTGGCTTTGTTTACGGTTGTGGTCACTGTGGCGGTAATTTTAATCTATGCCATTTGCAAACGTTCAAAAGAAGGGAGGCGGCGATAGTTTTGGAAGGGGGGGGGTCAAAAACCAACAATTTATACGGCACTACCACCACCACTATCACCACAGCCAGCACCACCACCACAGTCCTTGGCCACGACACACAGACACGACACATTCACACGACCGGATTGGATGAAGGAGTAGGAGTGGGGGGATGATGGGGGCCTTGGACACTCTCTCCGCCCTTCCTCCTTCCCCCGTCCCTTCACTCACTCTATCGAAGCACTGAGAGCTAACTAACTCGTCTTGGTTTGAAATCCTCTGTATATATCGCACACACACACACACTCACAGTCTGGCGGCCAGGGTAGTCGCCGGGCCTTTGCGAGTGGATGTCGATGAGGGGCTGGTGGTAGTGGTGGTGGTGGTGGTGGTGGTGGTGGTGGTGGTGGTGGTGGTGGTGAAGGTAATGATACTGGTGGTGGTGGAGAGAGATGATGATGGAGGGGAGGTGGATAAAGGGGGTAGGGGGAAGTAAAGGTGGGCTGAGGTGGGGTGGGGTGGGGGTGGGTAGTATTGTGCATGCAGAATTTTGACATACAAGAGAAATAAGGGGAAGGGGGGAGGGGGGATTATAAAGGGAGGATCCATAGCGTTAAATGAAAGAATGAGAGAAAAAGACAGATTAAGCTATAGAGGAAGATAAAGATGAGCAGAGAGAGAGGGGAGAGAGAAGGAAAGGAGGTTGCGCAAATGCTTGAGAGCTTAGAATGACGGCTGCCCCTCTGCCCCCCATCTCCCATATCAATCCCATTCCCCACATCCCTACCTACCTCCCAACCCCCCTCTTACAACCCCCCCTGCCCCCTTTCCTTCCTTCTCCCCCTACCCCCACATGGAGTTGGTAAGGGACATTGAGGCCTAATAATCTTGTAAGTGTCTCCACTCAGGCTTGTAGTGCTGGTGGTATTGCATCTTGCTAGTTCACCGCCTCGGTTTAATCTCTGAGATGTTGGGGAGGTAGGAGGGCGAGGAGGAGGGAGAAGGAGAGAGGGTTGAATTAGGTTCTTTATTTGAGTTTTCGCGACTGAAGGTAATTTCTTGACGTTAAGGCCAGCATGAGAGAGAGAGATGGAGGGAAGGTCACTGAGGTGTGGGAGTGTCAGGAGGTACAAGTACTGATTTTCATGGATGTTTTCATGTCACCTTTCACTACACCTTCACATAGGCGCTCTCCTATATATATATATATATATATATATATATATATATATATATATATATATATATATATATATATATATATATATATATATATATATAGATATATATATATATATATATATATATATATAGATATATAGATATATAGATATAGATATAGATATAGATATATAGATATATAGATATATAGATATATAGATATATATAGATATATAGATATATAGATATATAGATATAAAGATATATAGATATATAGATATATATAGATATATATAGATATATATATAGATATATATATATATATATATATATATATATCTAAATATATATATATATATATATATATATATATATATATATATATATATAATATATATATATATATATATATATATATATATAAATATATATATATATATATAAATATATATATATATATATATATATATATATATATATATATATATATATATATATATATATATGTGTGTGTGTGTGTGTGTGTATCAATTGAGGAAATGTCTGAGGCATTATGTAATTACCTATATTTATGTTTAAGTCTCCAGCACATCTACTAACGCCCTCTTTCCACATATTGATCAAAGACGAATGAGCTACATCTAGTTTAAGAATACCATAGACACAACCTATGATAATCTCAACAAGGAAGACCGAATAATCACCCTGGATAATGTGAGAACGGAGAAGGAACTCGAAAAAAAAAATGAGGGTTGCGAACATGACACATCACATTTAAGGATAAATACATGGTTAAGAGAACGACAGTACGTCACGAAAGAAGAAATTTAGTCAACGGAAAAAGAGAGGAAGAATCAATCCAGATGGCTATTAGAAGGACCATAGCGCGCTTAATAACTATATGGCGGAGGATAAGTGCAGGAGAAGTATTTTGAGTGGCTATACGGGGACGTTATAGTCGATCGTAAGTCACAATTTCCTGCTAGATCTCCCCCATTTACAGCTTGTACTTAACACCCTCTCACGTACTCACACCCTCTCACGTACTCACGCCCTCAGTGTCCCACTACCTAGGTCAAGCTTCCTTTCTTCCTCTCTTCTGGTCAAAACACCGATCGATTCTTTGTCGAAAATTTCCTTACTCCCCAAATGAATCTCACATGTAATAAAAGAATAGTGAAAAGAAAGAAAGATAAATAATAGAGCATCGTAAATATTTACTTCCAATGGAGAAGATTGGAAACTATTGCAGGTGAATATAAAATTTGAGCGCTCGCGAAAGTGTTTTTGTTTTTGTATAATATTATTTCTTCCTTAAATAATTTTCCTTTTCAGCATTTTCTTCTCATTTTTATTTTCGGGTCGAGGTGTTATTTAAGCGTTATACATAAATACAAGAGGATGGTGCA